AAAAGGGGCTTCATTTTTTTCTTCCCATATTATTTAATATAACTCATGCTTTCTTTGATCTGTTATAGAATGGCAATTCCATTCATATGTGGAAAGGTACTAGAATAAAATCAGTAAATTATTAACAACTTAGAGTATTAGTGTAAAGTAAGTAACATTAATATGTGAAAAACAAATTAGGATGAACTAATGTAATTTCCTTTTGTGTTAGGATGGCAGGCACCATTTGTAAACTAAAGGAGAAGAGGTAAATGTTATTCGTCTTTATTTTAGTAATTTTTTTATCCTTTGTCATATCACAGGTAAAATTCAGCAAGGTAAACTGAAGCAATTTTCCACCCAAGATAACATTTATTAGCAGGGCATGCTGCCTGCCAATAAAAGAGTCAGTGGATTTCCTCTGTTTATGCTAAGGACCCCTAGCAGATGCACAACTCCCCTTTTATAGGTTTTGGGGAGTCTATATAGAACAAAGAGCAGAACAGTAAGTGACATCATAGGGTTGAGGGCAACATGATTAGTTACAGAGCTGAGGTGCAGGGAACAACATGATTAGTTGGAAGTTTGGTAATGAGGGCTACCAGAAACCCCCTCATTCTTCTTTGTGAACATTGTTTGATTTCACCAGACATCCTTCAAGGATAACTTGGTGGTGTAAAGATTTTAGGCCTGACTCCCTTATGTTCATACACATCCTCCAATGTCAGCTGAATTCCTTGAAGCAAGAGTAGATTTTCCATACTTGGAACACATCAAGAGGAGAACAGACCTGGATATTTAATACGTTTATCTGCCAGAAAGCACGGAACTAGAATAATCTCTCAAGGTCTCTTCTAATTCTCATAATGTATGAGTCTGTAAAATCCACCATGGTGTAGTAAAAAATATTTTCTTAAATATATTATTTGTTGTTTAGTCTGTGATGAGGAAGAAGCATGGTAGAGTGGAAAAAATGCTAGACTTGGACCAAAAATCTGAGTCCAAATCTCAGCTCTGACATGTACTTGTGTTATGACCAGTAAAGTATAATCACACAATCTGCGTGTAAGATGAGATATCAGAGGTCATATATTCCACCTTGTACTTAAATAGGAATCTTATCTTTAACATCTGCAACAACAACAAATCAGTTTCACAAGTACAAGATGGAAATTGTTCACGGAAAGTAATGGGTTATTCAGTAGTAAATTAGCATGCATTTATTAAAAGTGCCTACTATTGTTATATACCACAACACTGTGTTCTTCCTGGGCATACCATTCCAGTAGGCAAAGTACCCTGAGTCTTCCACAAGGTTCATGCCTTCTTTCACCTGCCCAAGACCACATACTTTTCATCTAACTAGTCCGTCTTAGGCCCATAGAAAATTGGAAACTGTTTGTATTGGGTTCAGCATTTGATATAGACAAAATACCAGGACCAGTTTGCTTCAGGATGAAGTTTTCATCAGCAAATCTCTCCACATAGATAGCATTGCCATCAGTGTCATTGTGGCATACTTCAGTTTCACGTTCAATGTATTCATCAATCCACCCAGTCCCAGGCCATTGCACCCTCTAGGTGTACCTTCACCCCAACCCTCACCCTCCTCTCCACCTTCCCAGAACAAACACTCTTCCCCCATATGGTTACTACTCCTTTATATAAGTTGTCTTTCCCTATTAGAATATAAGCTTCTTAAGTAAGAAATTCTCTCTCTCTTTCTCTCTCTCTCTCTCTCTGTATGTCTTCCCCTCCCCCTCTTCATTCCTTTCTACCTCCTCCTTGCTTAGCACAGTGCTTGGCACATAGTAAGCATTTAAGTGCTTTTTCATTCATTCATTTATATGAAATCACCACACTGGCACGTGAAGCCAGGAATAATTCTGTAACAGTGCAGCCTTTGTAACCAGGTTGTTGTTTTTTTAATTTTTGTGTTTTGTCCTTACTATTCATAGGTGAACTTCTCTGTTTTCTTTTAGACCCTTGTCAGCAAAAACAGAAAGTTAGTATGTTCTGCAGCTAACTGTCCATAGTGATGTCTGGAGAATATAATGGGGTTGGCTGTGGATTAATGATGGGTCAGGCAAAGTTGTGGGGTCCATGTGGCAATGTCTGTAAGCTCTCCTTTCCCACTATTTCCATCTTATTAGATGAGGCCTGTTGTGTTATATTTCTGTCCAATTTTTTATATGTTTGCTATGCTTTCCAACTTCATGTTATCTGCAGATTTGATAAGGAGGCCAACCATGCCACTGGGGAGAAAAATTTGTTAAACAGAACTGAGACTAAGGACAGATCCCTGAAACCCTTCACTAGAGAACTTAGGATCATAGGGACCATAAATTTAGAGCTGAACGGAACGTAAGAGATATCTTAGTCTAACTCCCTAATTTTTCAAGTGAAGAGATTGAGGCTCAAGAAGGTAAGTAACTTGTCCATGATCAGGCAGGGAGTAGATAACAAGTGGGATCTCTGACTCTGTATTTAGTTCTATATCCACTGTACTATACTCTTTGGGTGCAGTTATAATTGTACTTTCATCTAACCCGTGTCTGTCTACCTTGTTCACAAAAATACAATGAGATACTTTTTCAAATGCTATATTAAAATCCAGGTATATTGTCACTTCCCTTTGAAAATAATCTCAGACTATCATTTCCTAATACGTTTAATCATCTTGCTGGGAATCAAAGTAAATTCCCTTTTTTGAGAATCAGGCTCAGTTCTTCTGACCTAAATTCTTGAGGATATCTCATTGCCTATCTTACCATCTCTTCACTTATCTTGAGTTCAGCTCAGTTGATTGTTTTTGTTTATTCTTTTCCAGGCCAAAATCCTTCAATATCCTTCTCCTTGATAGAGAATTCATTTCATTTCACCAAACCTTTATTAAGTACCTACAATGTACTACACACTGTGCTAGATTGTGGAGATACAAGACCGAAATACAGTTCGGGCCCTCAAAGAGCTTATTTCCACTGGCACATAGCAACGTGTACACAGTACACACTGTTTATATGCTGTAAAATACAGCATAAGTGCAAACTGAAAGTAAAGGAATCTGATGCACTACAACAGAATCAAGGAGAGGATTTGCCAAGACATTTGTTCCTTCTGTATAGATGATCATTATGTGAACTATCTCCAGCTTCAGCAACTTTTTGTCTCTAAGTAGGACATTTGGATCTTAAGAGACCAGGTCCAGTAAGTCTGCTCTGGTTTCACAGCATGTCTTAGTTTACCATGATCCATTTGTTTGAAGTGAGCCATCTTCTCAGATTGGACTCAGCTGCTGGTATGTAGAATTCTTGTTGAATAAGAATTGTCTCATTTTTTGGGTAAGTTTTTTTTTTGGTTTGTTTGTTTGTTTTTCATCACTGATAGTTGTATATTATAAACCATTTAGGTTTTGAGGAAGGATGTAACAGAGAACCAAGTCCACAAAAGACTTGGGCCCAGAATAATATATTTTGTCTGTATGTAGTAGTTTGCCTGTTGTTTCCCCCGTTAGAATGTCAGCTCTTTGAGGGCGGGGATTGTTTTGGCCTTATTTTGTATCCTCAGTGCTTAGCACAATAATTGGCATGTAGTAAGCACTTAATAAATGTTTGTTGACCGACTGATTTGGTAATTACTGTGTATTATACATTAACTTCTCTCTACTGACTTATTCATTTTGAAGTCTTGTATTAATTGGGGTAACATTTCCTTCTCTGTTCTAATTTTTCTTAATAGTTTTAACCTTTAGCTTTTAAATAAAACTCTGGTAAAGACACCTTTGTTAGCAATATGATTAACTCTTAGTGTGCTGGAATTAGTGACATTGCTCCTACCAGCCCCTACGTGATATTCAGAAATTGTTATAGCTAGAAACTTGGTGAAAACCGAAACAAATTTAGAATGAACTAGTTCTACCTTTTCTTTGTCATTGTCCTTTCCAGGGGGTAAAAAAATCCCATTTTGTTCTTTGCATTCATTATCAGCCTCAGTTTGTTCTGTTTTAGTTCTGTTCCTGACATTAAACTTACAAGACCAGGCCATTCTTATATCTTCTTCAATTATATACCCTAATTTGATCAGTGAGTTCCCTGTATATATACAGTAGTCTCTTCAGACTGTACACCCCTCCTTTTCCTTCTTATTAGAATTAACTGTGTTTGTCTTATCAGAATTTCATTCCTGAGAGAGTCTCACCCTCCCTGGGTCAATTTCCATGTGAAATTGTAGACCATAAGTTGCCACTTATCCTTTCTCTGAACTTTTGAAATCTCTTCTCCTAAAACCTAGGCTGTATTTCAGACTATATTTATCTTTCCTCATCTTTTGTGGATCCTAAGATAGAATGGACAGTACCTCCTGAGGTTCTCATCACTTCTGCTTCAGCAACTGGTTCTTTTTTGATTTAAGTCAAAATAGCATTTCTTTTTTTTGGTTTGTTTCCTCTGGTTTTTGAAGAATGAAACCATTTAAAGTTGTGATCCTCAATTTTCTCAGCTGTAGAATGGCAATAATTATTTGTTACCAGCTCCCTAAGTGGTTGTAGGGCAATATGTTTCATAGCCCTTCAAGTGCTACATAGATGTGACTTGTTATTGGCCAGATCCTTTCAACGTGTTTGTTTGGTTTTTTTAATGCTTGATACATTAACAAAAATGTATGTTACAGCAGGGTATACAGGAAGGAAGAGGTAGACATATTGAAAAAAAAATTTTTATGATGTTTCTATGTTTTTACATTTGTCTTTATGTTTTTCTAAAGATAAACTTTAAAAAGTTAAGAAATGTGAACATTCATGTTTATTCATAGTAAGAATATTGGATCTACTATTCCTAATATGCTGCATTTCCCCCCATTTGCTTTTCTAATCAGAATGAAACCATGCTTTGTTATTATGGTAGTTAACTGTTAGAATTGCTTTTTGTAATTTGGTTTAAGACAGAAATGTGTATGTCTTTTCTGAACATAAAAACATCCATGTCTATAAAATGTTGCATGACTTCCATGTTTTCTTTCCTCAGCTTAATAATGAATACTTATTGATTAGTGAAAAACAGCGCATAACCCAATGGGAAGATTTCATGAAAGAACAACACAACAAGCAGGCTGCAGTGGATGAAGAGCACAAAAAAGCCACGGAACGTCTTAAAGAACAATATGTGGAGATGGAGAAAGATCTAGCTAAATTTTCATCTTTTTAAGAACTTGAATAACAACAATACAATACAAAAACTTTTCTCTCCACTGTGCCAAAAAAAAAATCACCAGACTTGTCCTCTGTTACAAACTTAGCAATATGTTTTGGTGGTAATGCTATATCAAAAGAGTTGATAATAAAGATGAAAACTTTTGGTAGAGTTCAGATTTAATGTTCATTATAAAAAGAAAAGAGTCCTATATGCCTCCAACTTTAAGTGCCTCTGTATAATTATTTAGGTGGGGGAAGTAGGAGGAAGAATGGAATGAATTAATTCTTAGACCATCAGAATTTTTAGTCTGTCCATGCCCACTGAATAGATAAGAAAATGGCAAATGTAGCAGAATTCTCAGGCTATGAAAGATAATCTAATCCATTCTCATACATGAGAGTTCATGTTGGATTATTATGCTTGTTTAGACAATGTATACAATTAATTACCAGTCATCCCCAGACCATAGGAGGGGAATGCATATTGTTCTTATGTGAGTGATATTCACAAACTACTAGCCTTGAAACAGCTTGGAGTAAAGAGCTGAAAATCAAAATGGTTTCAGCAACAGCAGTGTCTTTGTTGAACAATAAACTGCTTACTTTAGGATATTGATATGAACTGTGTAGTCATATCATGACTACATATTCCAGTGGACTGAGACAGCAAGATTTTCTCTTACAAAGACTAGTGGCCTTTTAACCATGTAAGATTTTGAACTTTCAAAATTTGTTTAGGGAAGAGCTTACCAAAAATCTGGGTTATGCTTTTTACCCTTTTCAAGAATCATGATCTTACCCATAGTATTTACCTCATTATATGTCTGTTTTGCAGGGGATTAAGCTTTTTAGGTTAAATAGTATGCACACATTTTACAGCTATTGGAGTAATCGTTCCCTCTGGGACTGTATATGTATTCTGGCTCTGGGAGAACCAAAAATGTTGGCTCCTATGGCAGAAAGGCCATGTTAGATATCAAGATATTTTTAGTGATAATGTGTGTTCTCATAAGCAAATGTATTATGGTATAAAATGTAACAATGCTGTCATCACTGTGACCTTTAAAATATGCATTTAACAATCTTACCTGGAGAATGTAAGTTGTATTTCTTTAGTCTTTGTAAATCAAGAAGAAATCAAATGCAATAATAACGGGAGGATATGTGTTGCAAATGAATCCTAAAGCATGGATAAATATTTCAAATTATATTATAACTGCTGTGCAGTGAAGAAGGGAACAAGAAAAAAAAATCCAGCTCTTGTTATCTCAGCGTTGTGACTACATAAAGTTGACAATGGTTGCCTGTGTAAATTTATGGCTTAGTGTCAAAGCTCCATTCTTGGCAGCATGTTGAAAATGTGATTAAAGTTAGTAGAGGAGACAGAATAAGTATTTGAGATTTCTTTCAATAACACTGAACTTCAGCCAACTTTCTCTGTCTGCTACCGTAAGCCTGACAGGTTCATCAATCATCCTGTGGTACATGGAGTAAAAAGAGTCCTTGCCGACAGTAAGGCATGTTGGAATTTTGTTAATTCTCTTTAGTGGATGGGAAAAAAAAACGTAGCTCTAAAATATCCCATACGTGAAAAGTAAGGAAAGCCTTAAATAAAAATCCCTTTTTGAATGGAAGGTGGTTTCTGGAATATCTTTACATGTAAGTACATCCAACGACGAATGGGTGCTATAACTAAAAAATTAGGTCTATGTGCTTCATCAAGAATATGTTCAAAAAGATGATTGCCTGACTGGGGTCTAATTTTTCTGTTTGCTTGTGTTCAAGCTCAGTTAAAATGAGCTTACTTTACCTTATACAAGGTAAAGAACTTCTAATCTAAAATCATTTCTCAAGAATTATTAACATTGAGGATTGAAAATGGAAAATGTATTCTCTGTAACAACTCTTAATCGTATCTCTTTCAATAGAGTTCATTTCTGGATAATGATTTCCTAGTAGTGGATGCTATCCCTTCTGTTGCCCAGAATGACCAAATCACTTTTGGTCTGTACTATAGACAAGTGTTAGGGGGACAACAATAAAAAAGTTTCAGTAATTTGCTTCAGATTTGTTAAAAAAAAAAAAAAGATACGAGTTACTATATAGAAACATAACTTTTGATGTATTTTTGTTGTAAACAAAATGAAGATTTAGTAAAATCAACTGAAGAATTATCTTTTCAGTCTTAAAACATAACTGTGCTGTACTGCTAACCATATACATATATATATATATATATATCTCAGAGGCTTCACTAAATGCTTATTCTTGTCATTGATAATGCCTTATGCATTGTAACAGGCTGCTTCTAGTTGTATTGCCATTTATAAGCAGGTGAAGGGGAAGCAGAACAGGGCAGCATTATACTCTCCCACCCCATATGCTTTATAATTTTGGACTCTTTCCAGGGTGTTTGGGTTATTATTGTGGTTTGTAGAAATGTCACCCCAAATAATATGGATGAAAGATCATAGATTTAGAACTAGAAGGGACCTTGGAGACTATCTAGTGCAACTACATCATTTGCAGATGAAGAAACCGAGGCCAGAAAGACTGAGTGATTTATATACAACTAATAAGTGACAGAGGCAGGATTTAATATAAATATATGTTTTCTGTATCAGTAGTTATGAACTGTGCTATGAAACACTTGGGTATCACAAGTACCAAAGGGAATTCTCCCCTTTGCTTCCAGAAGGACACTAATTGTACATGCATGAAAATCTCCATCTACCCGCTGAAGCATTTTAAGAGTGAGCTTGTGCCAGTTATATTGCCCTAGACACTTAGGGCCAGGGCTGTTTATTTTTGTCTCAAGAGGAAAGGTGCAACTTAAAAATGAATTTAAGTTGTCTTCAGTCAAAACATTTGGGGACCACTGCCATGGATATTTATCTAATGCTTTGCCGAGTTCTTAAGAAGAACTTTACAAACATGTTATTTTTCAACAGCATTATTATGAATTGAAGCATGTAGCAAGTATTGTTCCCATTGTAAAAGTGTAATCATTGAACTGTTGAATAGTTGTAACCCAGGGCTATAAATGTGTCATTGCTGAATTGGGAAATAGAAGCTGGATTCATTAATATACTTCCACTATATATACTCCTTTTCTTCCACAACTACTAAATACCATGCTATTTTTAGTGACACAACTAGCATCATCAGCAAAACTGTATATAAATCTTTGCATAGACTAAAATGTTCACTTCATAAGGGATGATTTAAAACTATTCCAAAGACAAAAAGTATTAAGTGTGCTCCATAAGTAATGATAATATATACATATATATTTTATAAGGTGATGCATTTCTATCAAAAATAAAATTGTTATGTTCTTTTAAATTGATCTGTAAAGCTCTTTTCTCATCTCACCCCACCTCCGCCAAAAATGGATTTTAGGTTTTGAAGGCGTAGGAAAGGCCTCTTCCTTTCTGTGCTATTCATGTTCTGCTGTCCAAAAAAATGGTTCAGAAAAAATAAGCCCGACCATAGAAAAAGACTTTGCAGTTCATCTTGAAAACACATTTAGCTAATGTGCATTTATCTTGATTTTAAACTTGGCATTTTCCATTCAGCTTTACAAAAGAGCTATGCATGCAGTGAGTATTCAGTAAATGTTTTGGGTGATGATGAAAGAAAAGTAATCATTAGTGAGGCATAGACCTATTGATAAAAGCAAATTAATTCCAAGTTAGTTTATCTTTAAAGATAGGGTAAAAGCACAGTGGTCTAAGTCATAAACTTTGGTATGTCAAGGTGAATAAATATAAAAAAGTCCTTCCTATTTGGTTCTTTTTCAGAAAGTGTAAAATGGGTAGGAAAGAGGGAGGCATTGCTGTCCACTAATTTACTAAATCATTAAGAAACTACCAGTATTGTGTAGCTTTCAAATAATGCTTCAGATTTTATGAGTGAATATTATTGAAACTGCATAGTGAAAATTTATCAAAGCAGAGTGTTCTTTTTCCAGTTACATAATTTTTTCATTTACAGAAGCTTTCTCAGACTATACACACAGAGAAAGGTGGTGTCTGAAATTCAGCTATTATGGAGTAATCTGGGCTTTAAAAATAATTTAATGCATTTTTTAAAGTGGAAAATAGTGTGGGGTACATGTTTTCCACCATCTCTCTTCAAAATAAGTGAGCATATTTGCTCTTAAGTTTTCCAGGAAAATTTCACCTTAAATTGAGACCAAACTTGGAAAATTTCAGCCCCCAAGGCAGATGTTTCCAGTGGTTCTAAGTGATAGGTGTGGCTCTGAGAGAGTTTCATATATGCTACTAGGTAGATGGGATACTATGTTGAAAAATGTAGGATTACAAATTTTTCAATTATGATAGTTCTTGTTTGTTTTTATGGCATTAGCTATACTTGTTAGAGTAGTGCAAAGAATGACGTAAGTCCTGTCTTTTTTCTTGGATTCAGTGTAGTTATTTTCCTTTAAACAAAAATAAAAACAAAGCAGGCAATTAAGTATCTAATATTAAATGCAAATTTAACTATTTGTCAGGGACATATTAGAAAAATACTTTTTAACCCCTGTAAAAATTCTGCCAAAAGATCATTATTACAAAAGAGAAAAAAAGTTTCCTCTGTTGTCCACCATATGTTTAATCAAATGATTTACAAATAAATTAATGTCATTTAATCTTCAGTAAGTAAATTTTGAAAGTTTAAAAGTTTGCTTTTAGCTTAGAATTTGAAATTTGCAGCTAAAAACCAGCAGGTGTCACTGTATTAACAAATTTTTCCCCCATCTCTCCAAGTATATCTATGACCACACAATGAAAATGTTAGGAAATATATGATTTTACTAGACTTAAAAATAAGTTAACATACCAGCTTTTGGGCAATAAAAAGACAAACATCTAGTAATACACTATATTTTAGAAATTATTTAGTAATTTTGTTTAAAGTTGTCCTTGTTTCCTAGGAAGTTAAATATGTCCAAATATTTTCTAGCAAGATACATAGCATGGAAGGGTTTATAAACTTTTGTTATCATACTTTTTGTACTGGTACTAGATATATTTTATAATATATTTAAAATCTTGTGTCCATATATAACCGTGTTAAACTCCATTAATTTCATATTAAATCCACTTACATTAATAAAGATACTGGCAGCAGAGCATAGTGGCCAATATATTGGGTTTGAATCAGGAAGACCTGAATCAAATCAAGCCTCAGGTAAATTTTTCTTGTTCAGTCATTTCAGTCATGACCAACCCTTTATGACCCCATTTGAAGTTTTCTTGGGAAAAATGTTGGAGTGGTTTGCCATTTCTTTCTCCAATAAATCCATTAGATCAAGCAATCAGATATTAAGTGACTTGCCCAAGGTCATACAGCTTGGAAGTGTCAGAGGCTGGATTTGAAGTCAGGTCTTACTGATTCCAGGCCCAGTACTCTATCCACTGTGCCCTTAGCTGCTTCCAGATAAATGAGCTGCCTCCTCAGGTAAATGACCCTAAACAAATCATTTAACCTCTGTATGCCTCAAGCATTTTCCTAAGACTTAGCTTCTTAGTCACAGACAAGAAGAAAAACAAACTCATTAGATGATTATAGAATTTTACTGTATTCAGAAACTGTGTTGTTTATTGTATCTTGACATAGTCCTTGACTTCAAGAAGTCTACAATCTAACTAGGAAAAATCAACATTTATTAACTACCTACTTTATGCAGAACACTATCCCAGTGTGTCAAGAGATGCAAAGATTAGATAAAAATGATCCTCAAAGAACTTCTAGTTTAGTATCTGGCACAAGGCAGTATGTGATTAAGTGATAGATGCTGCTGAGAATGAGTTTTAGCCAAAGAGGACTCCATGAACTTAAACTGGGCCTTAAAATATCAGTAGAACTCAGATTGGTAGAAAGAAGGGAAGGAGTATTCTGTATGTGGGCGATAATGTTAACGAAAAAGAGACTCAAACAAAAAAAATGGATTTGCCTATGAGGACTACATGAATACCTAGAAAAAAGTAAAGCAGCAGATAGTAATAATGAACTAAAAGCTCTTAAGGAAAGAATTGGAAAGAGACTGAAATGGAAGAGAAGCTGGTAATCCTTACTTAGCATACTCCTTAAAAATTAGAATGGATCAAACAAATCCAGGATTCCAAGAGAAAGAAAAAAATATTATAACAAAATCAGAAGAATATAAGAAAATGTAAGATATCTGATGTCAATGAACGAAAACAAGTAAAGAACAGATGATTTTAAAAGTCATTAGATTGCTTGAAAACTAACTTTAAAAAAAACCTGGCCACTATATTTGAAGAAATCAAAAGGAAACTACCCAAATCTGTTAGAATGAAAGGGTACAGTAAAGATAGAATCCACCAGTCATCTCCTGAAACTCCAGAAGGAAATCTCAGGAACAACATAGTCAAAATCCAGAACATCCATTTAAAAGAAAGGGGGCAAGGGAAGGGAATAAGCATTTACTAAGTGCCTAATTTGGCACTGTGCTGAGTTTACGAATATCTCATTTGATCTTCACAAGAACCCTCTGAGGTAGGTGTTATTGTGATCTCATTTTACAGTTGAAGAAACTGAGGTATTCAGAGGGTAAGTGACTTACAGCTAGTAACTGTCTGAGGTTGGATTTGAATTCAGGTCTTCCTGACTCCAAGCCTAGTGCTCTATCCATTGTGCCTCACAGCTGCCTGTAAAAAAAAAAATAATAATAATTATGCAAACATGCAGAAAAGAATTATGAATGCACAAGAGGATCACATAATACCTGATAGCTTCTACTACAAATAAGAGATCTTAGAACATAATATTCCAGAAGACAGGCTTATAGCCAAGAATAATTTACTGTGAAAAATGACTATAATCTAACAAGGAGGAGAAATGTATCTTTAATGGAATAGAAAATTTTAAGTATTTCTGATGAAAAGATCAAAGCCAAATAAGAACTTTGAAATCAAATACAAGAATCAAGAGAAACCTAGAAAGGTAAATTTATTTGAGCAATTTGAAGGCAATGACTGATGATGCAGTGGTAACATTCTAATAGGGAGAAGAAACAAGTGTCCCTTCATAATTTAATATCTTCACAGATTATTGGGAGAGTTAAAAGAAAAATAGAGGCCCTGAGTACACTGATTCTGTTTTGGAGGAGAAAGAGAATTAAGGATAAAGAGAATATACTGGTGTAGAAAAGAAGAAGGAAATGAAACATGTCATAATTGTGATTCATGAGATGTGTATACAAACATAGAAGGAAGTGGAGACAGTGGACACCAGATAAACCTCATTGTTATCTGAGAGGGCCAATAGAGGGTTGAACACAGGCATGTACACATACACACATAGAGTGTGGTGTAGAAATACATGAAATTCAAGATTGAAATGAGTGGGGCTAGGGAGTGGGGGGTGAAGATGGAGGTTAATACTGTACATAAAAGTTGCAAGCTAAACAGACTTCCTGATTTTGAAGTGGGTGGGTGGGGGCGTTAAAAAGGGGAAAAAAAAGAATGGAACTGGAATCCAAGGGGAATGGTCATCATTTGGAGAATGACTGTTGGCATATGAATAATACAATGTTATTGTGCCATAAGAAATGATAAAAGAGACCATTTCAGAGAATCCTCAGTAGTATAAACGGATGCAGAGTAAAGTGAGCAGAACAATTTATATGAGCGCAATAATACTGTAAAGAAAAACAGCTTTGAAGACTTAAGTCTGATCAAAGCAATGACCAACTTATACCTCCTGAAGACCTATGATGAAGCATGCTATACCTCCTGACAGAAAGGTGATGGCATTAAGGTACAGAAACAGATACGCATTTTTTGGTCATGGCAACTATGTGAATTCATTTTCCTTACTATGCTTATTTGCTGAAAAAAAATTTTCACTCTTGGTTTTTAATTGGAAGGTGAGGGGAAGTGTTAAAGGGTTAGTTAGCATTAATGAGAGAGAGAGAGAGTCATTGAAACATTAAAATGTGTGGACGAGAACAAAAGGAAGTTCAAAATCACAGAGGTGCAGGACAATCTTAAAAGTACTGTGTAGAATTTATTATACATGTATTTTTAAAACCCCAGCAACATGAAATATAATCCCATTGTTTGATGTATAGTCCTTCTTTTTGTTTTCTGTTTTGTATAGGGAATGCTTATTTTTGTTTTTAAGATCAGAATAAAAATAATAAAAACATTTTAAGTTATTATTAGAGCTATTATTTTTTAAATGCACTCTTATAGTTAGGAAAAGAAAAAAAATTTGTCCCCCAAAAACATTTTAGGCGCTGAACTGATTTAACCAGTGAGGATAAATATCTCTTGGGAAAATTTAGAAGGCATCACATGTAATAGAAAGTG